GGAGAGGGAGTTGTATAAATGTATAATCTGTTTTACTTTTGTCTTAGAATGGCACATTATAGTGCCTGTAGAAGGAAAATAAGTAGTAAGTAAGTACCGTTGCCTGCCATTGACTCATGCTAGGTGTCAAACTGAGATGCGTGTAAAACCCAAGTACATACAAGCTGAAGGAACAGATTGTGGCAATATTTTAAAATATCACAGCTCTAAATAAGAAGCAATTCTGATAGCCTATTTGGAATTTATGCAGAACACCCATAGCTCTGAAAATCTGCATTTTCAGGTTTGGTACATTGCCAAGGTAAATGACTTCTATGGAGTAAGCATACATAATAGTGTATGGGATTATATGATAACAGCTGGTTCCCTCAGTTTACAGATACTGTTCTCTCCTTGGCCTCTCTTTTTCTCCATTGCTTCTTTTTAAGTTTTCTTTGTTTGCTCGTTCTTCTCCCTTATCCCCTAGAAATCTGTTCCCCAGGGTTGTGTGTCTACTGCAATTAATGTAATCATCCACTAGACTGTAAATTTCTTGAGGACAGGGGCCATGTCTGTCTTGTGCATCATTGCACCCCCAGTGCCCCGCATAGTGCTTGGCACATGGTAGACACTCAGCAATTATAGTCATGAGTCACTTGATGATGAGGATATAGTCTGAGAAATGCATTATTTGAGAACATGATATTAATGGTGGGTTTTGTATGCTTCTGAGTCATGTTGAACAAAATTACATGAGATTGAATCAAGCTCAAGAAAATGATGTTACCTAGAGACAAAGTAAACACAAGATGTATGAGCCTGTTGCTAGTGCAGATCCCTACGACATTATGACATGTAGGCCATCACTAGGCAATAGGTATTTTGGGACTGCTATCATATATGCAGTCTGTCTTTGACTGCATTGAATTGTCATTATATGAGCCATGACTCTTGCTGAAGAAGTGATGAGTCTATTATTCCAAATGTGGAATCATTCTTGATGCCTCTCTCTTCTACATGCCCCATCTCCTGTCTGGGGCCAGTGGCATTTATTACCTAAAAAGCTTTCACATTTGATCCTTTCTCTCCATCCCCACTGGCAAGGATTTCATTCAGCCCTTATCCTCTGACTCTTGGATTGTTTCAGGAGTTTCCTCATTGGTCTTCCTGTGGTGGCTTCTTCATCCTCTGACCCTGAGTGGGGTCTTTGTATAGCTTGAATATGATCAGGTCACCCTCAAGTTCCCCTTTACTTAAAAAGAGTTTGCAATCTGGCAGCCTCACACTGAATCCATGGAGTCTATGTAGTGCTTTGAGAAAATAGGAATTGTATTTTTATGCACATTTTCCCCACATTTTAGCACCTCTGAAAATTGGAATGTGTCTTAAAATTGATAGAGTGTCATAGTTTGATGGGTGGATTTCTTTTCTTACTGGTATATAAAACACCATGAATTCAATGGCATCTTAAATTTGCACAAATATGCTCATGTTGACATTTAAAAATAGGAGGCTTTACATAAAAATATGTTCAACTTCTCTTGAAAAATCACACTGGGCAATACTAGGCCAAGCTATCTAGATGGCAGCTTAAGAGGAAGCTACCAAAGTAGCAGCTGTCTCAGACAAAAACTCTCTAGAATGTCCCATCATCCTCACCCAGGCTGCTTTGTTCATTTCTGTCATATGCCCAGCCCATGTAAGCATTTGAGATTAAAATCCCTGGTAGACAGGTTCAAGTCTGCATTCTTAGTTATGATTTACAAGCGTGATTATAGCGGGCACCAACCTGCCTCCCAGCTCACATCCCCCTTCTCCACTCTCTACGCCCTCTGCCCTCTGACTCCAGAAACACAACTCAAATACAACCTGCTGCTGTGCTTCCCAGAATGCCTTTCCCACCTTTATGATCTATGAAACATTTCCTGACTTGCCCTGGCAGAGCACATTTCCTTCTAGACACATCCCTATAACTATACTTCCTGTCTTGAAGTATTTGTGGTCAGGCCTGTGTTCCTTATTGTGCTGTGAACTTGGTAGGGAAATGAATCAGAATTTATTCATCTTTGCATCCCTGCTTGTAGCTGGAACATTTTCAGTATCTATTAAGCACAGACCGGATGGTGTTCCTATTTTGCTGGGGATATCTGGTTTTTGCGTTTTGCCCATGGATAGGAGCTAAAAGTAAGTCAGAGAGAAGAGCAAGTGTTTGCCTAGGTGTTCATAATTTATAGCATGTGACATTGCTTCCGGCTGTGATTGAGGAAGGCCCATGGCAGTCAAAGTCATGCATGGGGATGTTATACTCTGCAGACCCAAAGGCACACCAGACCCAGTTCTCTGTGAAGCCTTTTTAAAAAATTGTTTTCAACTTAGTGTACAGTAAAAGCAGGTTGTTTTTGTACAATTCTGTGAATGTTGACACATGGATAGATTAGAATAACCACCGCTAGGATACAAAACATCAACATGCAGATAGAGAATAACCAGGGCACAGAACAGCACTCCCGCCAGACTCCCTCTTCTGTGTCTCTTCAGTCCTGCCACCCCCCACCTATAAACACTAGCAGCCACTGAGCACGTCTCCCTCACTGGGCTTTGTCCTTTCAAGGAAGCCATGTGCTTGTGTGTACCTTCCGAAGCCTGGTTTCTTTCACTTGGCATGATGTCTTTGGATACATCCAGGTTGTACATATCAATAGTTTGTTCCTTTATATTGCTAAGTAGTATTCCACTGCAATTTGTGTATCCATTCACTCACAGAAGGTCATTTGGATTGTTTTCAGTATTTGACCTATGGACATGTATGCATGTTTTTGTGTGAATGTCAGTTTCAATTGCTCTAAAGTAAATACACAGGAGTAGAATCGGTGTGTCATATGGTAAATGTATCTTCTATTTTGCATTCCTACCAGCAAAGTTCTAGTTGCCCTCCAACCTCACCAGTATTATTGGTATTTTTTAACCATACTAATAGCTATACAGTGCTGTCTCACTGCTATCATATTTTGAATTTTTTGCTTTCTTGAATTCATCTGGGAGAACAAGAGGGGGAAAGAAACCAATCAACTGAGCCCTCCCTGGTGGCTCAACGGGTTAGGATGCAGCACTGCAAGCGGGCAGCAGCCACTTCAGTGTGAGTTCAATCCCAGCCCCGGAGGTGACCCACATGGTGCAGCAAACCTCTCTTGACCCTCCCACTGCTCCCTTCAGCAGTGTACTTAATCAGTCGTCCTGTCCTGCTCCCCACTCTGTCTCTGGTGAATACCCTCACCCTCTGCAACTCTGGCGTGTATCCCAGCTCAGTATGAATACATAAATAAATCTTTAAAAAAAAAAAAAAAGAAACCAATCAACTAATAGTCAATTTAGTTGTCTTTCAAACTCTGATTTTCTTCTTAATCTGCCTTTAGCTATTTACTTTTCAGCATCTTGTGTTATTTATTGCTGTATAACAAATTACAAAAAAAAATAGGTTTAAAACATACATTTATGATGTCACAGCTTCTATGGGTCAGAAATCCAGGAGTGGCTGATCTGTGTCCTCTCCTCCAAGGATTCTTACACGCTGCTGCAGACAAGGCATTGGCTGGGCTGCCTCCATCTAAGGCTTAACTCATATTGGCAAGAATTCAGTTTCCTGGGTTCTGTTTGGCTGCAGACCTCAGTTCCTTCCCAGCTCTTGGCCAGAGGTTTTCCTCAGTTCTTTGTATGAGGGCCTTTCCAACATGGCAACTCACCGCTGGCCCCACTATCCGGAGGCTAACTGAGAGGCCAGTCCCATTTGAGTTTCTCCACTTGGTGCCGTTGGGCATCAAAGTGTAAAGGCCACGAGTGGACAAGTAGTTCCAGCACTTACCGCCAAATAGGTTTGCACACATTGTTGTTTTCTGAGTCTACTCGAAAGTCCAACTGCTTTAACTTGATTCTAACATATTCTCCATTGTGTGTCATGACAAGTAGGAGATGCCCATTAGAATTGCTTTTCCTTGGCATGAATGGGAAGGGTGGTCATCTTCAGGAAGCTTGTGAAATAGGAGAGGTTTGCCTGCAGTGCTCCATCTCTTCCTGGTGAAGGAACCAGACTTCTCCAGTCCCCTGTCTTTCCATAGTTTTCCTGTTACCATCGACTACGTGTCCTGGCTTGGGTTTCCTCAGAAACAGATCTTGAAACAAACGTGTGAGAACAAGCCATTTATTTGGAAGGGGAAAGCAAACCTAGCAGGGGCTGGGGAAGTGAGAAAGGAACGGGAGACAGCCAAGAGTCAAGAGTAAGTCCAGGCAGCAGAGTGGAGAAGCCGCCACTTGCCAGTCAGGACAGACAGGTACTTCCCCCTCACTTGGAAGTCCAGTTGCAGTATTATAACCAGACACTGAGCTCATTCTAATTTTAATTTCACTTCTGCCAGCTCATGTCCTTGTTAAGTATTGTAAACTACACGCGCCTGCAAGAGCACCCTCTTCCCTCGCTTGTCTCTTCTTCTTCCTAATTTACTGCTATTCAAGCATCACCTCTAGCCTGGGGATCACTTCTTTTAGAAAGCCTGCCCTTGTCCCTGCTTCTGGGATAGGGCATTCCCCATGCCCGCTACCTGACCTTTCTACTGTACCGTACAGTGGTCATTTGTCCTGTAATAAATAGCTGTGTGTGCTGTACTGGCACTGTTTTAGACACCTGGGTGTTATATTCCAACAGGGGAGGCAGGTTTTAATGTATAATTGTATTTTAATTTTGTACTTATGTGGTAACACCACTTCAGACATGTCCCTTTCGTTCACCATTCATGTCCCTGTCCCTTAGCCCAGGGTGCTCGATAAAAACGTGGATTTGAGTGGAAGAGTATAAGTCATCTGAGTAAGGAAGGTTCAGCTTTTCCCAGACAGAACAGAACTCTCATCTTTCCTCTTACCCATTTTCATATGATGATGTGCCAGTTTAGAATTTGGCCCACCTTAAATCTGTTCGTGAATGAGTTTAGAGCTGTTAACAATACTTTGCCCATTAATTTTGTTCTTTTTAGGCTGGGAGAACTCATCCTTATCCAGGTGACCAGAGGGCATTCTGAGAAGAGGCTGGACCCTTCATTTTGAAAACACGTAAGGCACTGGCTAAAGCTTCTCCACTCTACTAGATGCACTTACAATCAGACTCTGGAGTCACAGGCCCAGGTTCAGAGTCCAGCACTCACGCATTTGCTGTTTGACTTGGGCTATAGTTCCTAATGTGTAAAAAGGGGTCCTAATAGTATATACTGCATAGGATGGTGTGTGGATTAAATCAGAACAACACATGTAAAATTAACAAGTACCTTATAACATGGTAAGTGCCCAATAAATTTATTATCATTGTTTTAACTTATTCACATTTATCAGAACTGATTCATTTCACATTTGGAGTCTGGCTAATACTTTGTGCTGCTCAAAGTAATACTTAAGCATCCTTCATACAATGGAAAAATAAGTGACATTTTTCATTTTAAGCAAAGTCAAAATTACAGTCACATCAAGGGCACAGTCAATCCAATTTATGGACCTGAGGCTGGCCGTTGATATAAATACCCAAACCACGAGTTCTCACCCGCCTTTCTTTTCTTTGTGAAATATAAGAAATAGTTGGTGAGTACCTCTGATGCAGTTATTGCTGGGGAGGCCAAGAAGGATGAAATGGATCTTTTACCTTCAAGATTTTACTGTAAAAGGACAAATTGCAGCATACTTTGAGCAGCTCTATAATTGGACACCTACGTAGCTTTGGGAGCCAGAAGACAGAATGACTAACTCCCCTTTGGTGATCCAGGAAAGGCTTCACACAGAGGAGGTGACATTCGAACAACTATATCTGGACACAGCTATCATTCAGTCATCAAGGGTTGGATAGGTCTTTGGCCGAAACATAGCTATAGAAAGACATTGTCCACTATTTGGAGGGAGCCTGGATAATTATACTGTCATTACAGTGTGTATGGCCGCGTCCTCAGGTCCTGGGTCAGAGTCCTTGCCATGGAAACCTGTGTGGTTGCATTGCCTCATAATGAGGCCCTTTGATAATATTTAATATGCTAATAGGAGTTCAGGTGCCTAGAACTGCCTTTCCAGTGATTTTAAAGGGATTCCATTAGATTAAATAGCAAGCTAGGTAACCACTTTACTGGCTCTCCTGTGGCTCTCAACTGCAGAAAGGAATTGGCTAAAGAGCAGCTTGGGTGAGGTTATGAATTGGTTGAGTGGAGTCCTTTAAACCCTAGCTTGAGAGGCCTGGGGCTAGTAAGCTGGCAAGGAAGCCTTTGTTGGTAAATTCCTGTCTGTGCAGCTGCAGTTTACCTAGAGCTCTGGGAACAAGACCAGTCCTACATTGCCTCAAAAGATGGCAGAACTGTGGCTGTAGCACCCACTACTAACACTGGCACTGAGATTTTTCAAATGTGTCTTCCTTCCCAAACTCAGCAAATTACAGATTAACTTTCCTTTCTGGCCATGAAGGGAAGTGAATCTTTCTTTCACAGGTAGGTTCTGCATCAGACAGCTTACTATAAATAACTGGAGGAATACAAATGCCATGTAAATAAATTTGCAGTCCAGCCCCCAGCAGCTGCTCCCTCACCCCATGCCTTTGCAAGTCCCAAGGGAGACTTAGGTTAGTTTTCTCACTTCCTTCTCCTAATTATACTTAGGTTATGGTAGTGTTTCCCAAAAATCATTTTCAGTTGATTAAAGAGTCCACCACGGAATGATTTTCTGCCCTTGCTTACCAACATTCAGTTTGTATTTTGTACCGATGCAAATTATGCAAACAATAGCCTGATGCTGCCAGTGCAGAGCACGTCCCCTGGGAGGCAGTCATGTGATCAAAGCCCATTATCTGGGCTCTTCCCTTTATCTCCTAGCCTGGAACTGGGCAGTCTCAGGGCAGACCAGCCTCTCCCTGATCGGTGACTCCAGCTCATCCTGCAGGCTAAAAGGCAATGAATGCAGCTTCCGTTATTTTTTCTTTCTTTCTGTGTGAATATTTCTTCATTTATTTCAGCAGAGTTCTCCCTTCAAAGAGCTGCAGAGATGTGAGATGTGTCAGAGTGTGTAAATGTGTGTTTTTGTGTGGGGGGTGTTGCAGGGAGAACTGGAATTGTACCTCTTTTCTTTCAGGCCTTTGCATCTCCTCGGGAAGGTTTCTTCTTGTTTTCATTTCTGTTCAAACACCTGGGGTGAGGACAGACACCTACATTGCTGAAGGAGAAACAGGTAATGTGTTTGTTTGTTTTTAGGTGTTTGGGGCAAGCAGAAATCTCCATTATGAACTACAACATTGTGTAGCAGGGACAGAGAATGTTCACTCCTTGAGTTTATTTTATTACTTTGGAATTTTGGGGAATGACTTCTCAAAGATGCTGATTTCAAGTCAATGGTCATCATCTTCAAAAGGTGTACGGATGACTACAACTTGAAGGGTTTGACATGTTTCAGATGAACTCAGTATTTGGAAAAACTCTGTGGTCACTTGGATGAGGGCTAGAAAACATGGGAAGGGATATTTTGAGATACCCTTCTAAGTCCTGCGTAGGGCATTCCCAGAACCCCCAAGCAGTGTTATGTTCAGAAACCTTCTTTAGCTCCCACGGCCTTTTGTTATCTTAGGGGACTACCAAGTTTCCATCGATCTGTAAGAAAGGGAAACAATTCTTTGCGATATTCAGGAATTTTCTTTAGTGATTTTGTGTTTACATAACTTGATCAGATTGGATCCATAAACTAAGACTTAACTAAGCTAACTTTTTAGTAGACAGGCATTTTATTCTTTAGTGATCAAATTGAGTGGATTTTTAGTTCTGCACTAATCAGCTGTGCATAGTGTACAATACCAGATTTTAGAATCTCAATCTCTTCATCTGTAATATGGGGATGCTGAAAGTTTGCTGTGAGTAGCTACTAGAATAATAAAACCTAAAGCACCCACTATACTGGATAAATGGTAGCCCCTTAATATATAGTCATTATTTTAGCTATTACTATAATTACCAGTACAGCATTCTCTCAGACCTTAGTGAATCTACAATTACCCCAGAGCCTAAGGCAACCCAAGGAGTTTAGTCTCTGATAGGTCCCCAACAACGCATTCTGAAGGAAGAGATTTGAACACATGCAAATTTTGTTTAATGTTTCATTTCTACCACAGTAAGTACCCTCCCTGGCGTAGCCCCTTAACTAATTTGCTAGCTAAGAATTGCTTTTTGTTCAAGTGGGCTTTTTTAGTGCTAAGCTCTCACTAGTCCTTAGTACTAATGTGTATGTAAGGTACACATTAGTACCTGTTTTTTTGTTTTTAAAGATTTATTTATTTGTACATAAAGAACTGGGGTACAGGCCAGAGGCTAAGGGGAGGCGAGAGGCTTCACCAGAGACAGAGTGGGGAACAGAACAGGCAGATCGACAAAGTACACTGCTGAGGGGAGCAGCAGGCGGGTCAGGAGAGGTCTGCCGCGCCATGTGGGTCACCTCTGGGGCAGGCGGGAATCGAACTCATGCAGAAGTGGCTTTATCTTCTCAGTGCTGTGCTTTAACCCGCTGCGCCACCAGGGAGGGCCAGTACCTGTTTTTTAATGAGAAAACTGAGATTCAGAGGAATTAATGACTAGCTGAAAAGAATTTGAACTGTTACTTGTCTGACTTCTGGACCCCAAGCGCCATTGACCAGCATTAGGCTGTTAAGGATAATAGGTGTTCTTGACATTCTGCTAGATCTTTCAGAAGGTAGTGGGCATGCAGCTCTTTCTTAGAGCTTCATAATGCACAGTAATGTATTGAAGGCTTTGAGGACTCGGCAGTAAAGAAACCTTGTTTAAGCCTACTTCTCCTGAACGCATTTGGTGTTGGGGCCTGTTTTTGACTTATCTCTACCACCATAGAGAACTGCTGTCCCACAAATGGACTTTGGAAAATCAGGCACCAGGCAATGCCACCTTCTGATCTTGATCCTGTCTGATAAAACAACAGTTTACTGGCAGACATCTTCTGGTGCTCATTATAATTCCCTCCCTTTTCTTTAAATTCCATCTGGTGAGCCAGGAAGAGTCACTCCCATTCATTGAAGACTAGAGACTCAAATGTAATGTCCTTCTGGAAAGACAGTCAAGTAGGGGGCTCTCCAGCGTGGTCTGCCAGGCACTTCTCTGCCCTACTCTCCATCCCTTAAGTTACACTTAGACCACAAGCATCAACCTATAAATTCCCTGTTTCAATGAACAGCAAAGAAAATGCAGCAGGCGAGTCTCACTCTTCCTCTGTCCTCCACGCTCATGTCTACACAGTCCAAAGGGGAAGAATTAGATTTACCTAGCCAGCTGCCACAGGCAGAGGGAGTGTAATGCCAGTTGAATGAAAGTGAGTTGCGGATTTGGTTCCTCAGGCTTAGAGCTAGAATAGGAATTTTCACAAAAACCAGCATCTCTAGGAAAAGCTGAGTTTCTAGCATCGGAAACCACACATTTCCCATCCAGATCACCAAGGGTGGAATCAGGGTCAAGGTGGCTGAGCCAAGGTTTGGCAGTTCAGTAGAGATGCACTTTGTAATTAAATAAAGAACCAAGAAGAACAGCTTTGGGATGCTGGGCTAGCACTTGGTGGAGGAGGTTACATTAACTCCAGAGGCCATTTTTGTTCTTTCCTTGTATTTTCGGTGTGGGGGGGTGGGGGGCTGAGAGGGGAATGAAAAGTGGCTAAGATGAAAAATGTGAATAGCATCAAAAGAACTGCTTTCCAGTTCTTACCTCATTAGCCACCCTTCAAACATACACTCAGTAAAAACCTTTCAGCAAGAGGCCCTTCCTTTTATGGATTATAAGTGCATGCTAGTGATGAGTCATTATTTTATGTTTATGCTTTAAAACAATCCTTGATACATAATGGTAGAAGTAGCAGTACTGGGCATGTTTCAAGCTGCTTATTGCCAAGATCCATCTCTTAAGTGGTTCACATCACTGACTGCCACATTCTTGGGTCTTTGTGAACACCTTTTGCACTCAAGAACCCCTTTCAAGCCCCAGAGATGATTTCTTCAGCGACTTCTTTAACACACGAAGTGCTTTTTCTATTGCTAACAGAGGACAGGGAATGGAAGAAGCTCTATTTTCCCAAGTTGTTTTTATCAGTTTTACAGTGAGCTAGTGATGATCTCAAAGGCACATACGCTGCTTAAAAACTTGTTGCTGTCAAGGGCACAGTGGAGTATGGTGGTGGACTCTAGGTGACGTGGTGGTGGGTGTGTTGTGGTACCATCATTCTTTACAAATGAATGCATTATTATTGCCCATTTTCTGGTTTAATAATGGATGTTTGTATAGTCAAAAAGCATGTACCTATGCACAAAGTGATGAAATAATAATTACTTTTTCAAGGACTGTGGCTTAGATTCATTCCTTTAACATTTACAGACCTGTGAAAAGGCACTATGTAGAGGCAAGATAGTCAAGAGTTATTTAGAAAGAAAGATACCTAGGAGCTTTTAATCTGGAGAAATATACTCAAGCTCAATGCTTTTGAGTTTCTGGTGAAACTTTCACACAAAATTTTGTTTTGTTGTGCAATGAATTAATTTGAGGAGATACTGCTTTATAATTTTTTTCTGGAAAAAAGAAAATTGACTTCAAAATATATCACTTCCTATTGCTAGATCAGTGTTTCCTGCCTACTCAACACTCAGACTCTTATGTAATCATGCAATGAAAAAACTAGTATGGAAGTGAAGCCCAGGTGAGATATGGAGAGCAGAGTTTCTCAAACTGAGGTACAGGTACTGCCTTGTCAAAGTGCCATAAAGCAGGCTCTTCAGTGGCAGAGTCTAAGGATCTCCGACTCTCAGGAGAGTTTGGGAGTTGGTTTTTTAAAAAATAATCTCCCCTGGTAAGTCTTTTGATCCGCCTGTCAGAGCACTGATCGAAGCGCTGGGAGAAAGTCACCAGGATTAGAACCACATCAAAGAATAATGAAGTGTCCTCATAGACTCCACAGATAACCTTCGAGAAATTTAATTTTCAAAAATGAGGAAAGTGTAGATGCCAGACCATACCCTTGTAAGTCTGACATGATCTCTGCAAAAGTTCTGTTCCAAGTGGATGGAGTTCAAGCAAAATGAGATGACTACTAGGTGGCATTATGGGTTTGCCGAACCATTGTCTCTGTGGGAGATTCTCAAATTCTGCGTGATATTAGAATCATATGGGGATCTTTAGAAAATTTTAATGCCTAACCCCCATTCAGTACCAATTACATCAGAATCCCTGGGGATGGGACCCAGGCATTAGTATTCTCTAAACTCCAAGTGATTTTAATTTAATGAAGTGCAGTCTGAGCTTTGGGAATTTTAAAAGCTCCCCAGATTATATTAATGGGCAACAGTTTAATAGTTTGTCTTTATGCTGTTAGGCAAGTTGCTGAGCCTCCTTGTGTTTTGTGTAAATTCCAGGTAATTTTAAAGTTACCTCACACCTTGGTCTATGATTCTCTTATTACAAATCGTTCTGAGCTGATCCTTGCAGCTCTCCCTCCTTCTTCTCCTCCCCATCTTTTTTCTGCTGCTGCTGGGATAGGCCAAATGTCAAGGTGTCAAAGTATGCATCTTAATTTCATTAAAATATTTAGCACAGTTTTCCAGGATGTCTCATAGGTATAGAAGATGTTAGTTATGGTAGGTGAATTTACCACCTCACTGAACAAATAGGTCCAGTGTATGAGTGGAATGAGTCTATGGTAACCCTAGAGAGTGGCCCAGAGTGGAAAGCTGTTAGGGTTGTTCTGCCCTTGCAGCTAACCTTCCTAGCATTTTTTACCTGTGATGTGAATAAGAAAGATGTGAATGAAATGCCTGTCAAATTTGCAAAGAACCCCAGAATTAGGAGCGTTAACTAGTTCAATACATATCTTGATATTTGTTTATGAAGGTTATTATTTTAAACATTTCTATAAGTATTTGAATGTAATTCACATTCAGATATGTTCCTTTGTTCTTCAGTTGAGTCCACATTTGCGAACCAGTAGTGCAGTACTGAAGGGAGGACATTCGTGCCTGGAAGGGCCCCGGTGGTTGTTTTCTGACTCTGTTCCTCTCAAGGGATTCAAATCTGTTGAGTTGGTTTGGAGCATCACAAAATAAAGGACTCACCCCCAGAAAGTGATGAGGTGGCATACTCCAGAAAGGAGGTTTGTTGGGTCTCCCATGGAATTGCTCTTAGAAGTTCTGACCTAGCAGTTTCAGTTAACCCATCAGAAGCCTGGGGAGCAAGAGTCTAGACTGTGCAGGGGCCTCAAAAACACCTGGCGAGCTGTCAAAAAGTACTGTCTCGCAGACGCTGATGTTTTAGGGGAGACCTTGAGCATCTCTTATTTTTTGAAAGAAGTAGTAACCTGACTGATTCTGAGCAATATTGTCAAAGAATTCACTTTGAATTGAATCTGATTTGAATTGTGGCACAGTTCTTTACATGTGCTGCATATGTCTCATGGTTGGTCTCCTGTTTGTCTTTTTAAAAAATCAGATAGATTTAATTATTTTGAATCTGAAACCAGAGCAGTTAAATATGTCAGAGTCTTCATATCCCAGTCTTTATATTTCAATTAGAAAATTACACACTCGTACATTTCAATTTTTCTTTTCATTTTTAACACTTTATTTTTGAAGAACTTGATCTGACCAAAACAGGAGGAAAATGTAATTTCTGTGTAGCAGAAAAGCAATCTGTATCTGCTCTGTTGCTCTGCTGGAAAATAAGCCAGGATTAGATTATATCTGATCACTTTCCACATCACATGATGAACAGCAGTTCAGAAGAAACATAAAATGAACCCTGCTGAGCCGCCCTTAGACACCTGCTGTTAACGGTACTTTCTTTCTCCCTCATTAGAATCTGTGAGTGAAGTGGACCTGGGAGGAGAGGCTCCTTACAGCATAAAAGGCGGCACCTTTTACTCTCTGTCTTGGAATGAGGAGTTGAATTCATAAACACATAATTGAGAAGACATGGGCTGTGGCATTTCATCTTCAACAAAAGACAGCAAGTCTGAGATCGGTGAGTGCTGGGAGTGTGCCTGTCTTCACAGGTGCAAGGGGGGTGAAGTGTATCGCCCTCCCCTCCTTTGCCACTCAGTACCCACACAGGTTCTCCAGCTGCCCTCTGTGATTTTGTATGAGGCATTATCATTTGCACCAAAGGTTAAATATTGAGGTACCATGGGAATCGACCATTGGGAAGATGTAACTTTATAGATGTACCATAAAATATTAACTAGGAGATAGTTTATGTTTGATTTGATTTCAGTTGAAAATATAGCAATGTAATCTCTCAATTTAAAACTCAGAGGCAGGGAACAAGGAAGCTTCTGTAAATATGTATCTGTTTCTTCAATGTGCTTATAAATAACTGTATCTATACTATGTGACATTTAGTAGCATCATTGAATTTTTATTAGATTTTATAACTCAGTGATCAGATTATTTTTTATAGTTATCAGCACAGAGCTTCATGAGATTTGTCTCATGTTTTTCGAATATTCTAGGTAGAACTTGGGAAATGGTAGATCATTGGTTTTCTAATATTTCTTTTTATTTTGTACAACTCATTTGAATTTTAACTAAATTAAAATAAAATAAACAAACTGAGACATTATGTGAATAATTTACTCTTGAAGCTTCATTTCTTTGTTATATAGGTTATGATAGCTTCCTCAATTTCTGTTACCCACCTTAGCTTTGGAAGTTTATTTGGACTTGCAGTGAAGTCTTTTTAATGTGGAATGTTTTCCTCTGGGAATCAAATGCTCTCCTCCTTCCTAGGTTATTTGTGCTGGTGAGTTAGTAATCTCCGACAGCAGGGACATGAGAGATCCACTAGTCTATAAGCTTTCCAGTCTATGAGCTCATTATGACATAATTCTTTTGAATGCTCTAACTGGATTCATACCATGGTAGTAATGACTGTAAGAGAATAATTATCTTTTTATATTCAGGATTACCCAGTAGTCATTAAATTTAGTCACATTTCTTAGGTTAAAAAAAAAAAGGCCAGCCCCAACTTATAAAAGTAATTTGAAATACTTTTCGACTTTTAAAATGTCGCATGTAAATGGAAATATTAATTTCAAATTTGGGGGTGCCTTTTCTTTTAAATAATTAATTGAAGCAAAATTCATAAAGCTTAAAGCTAACTATTTTGATGGGAGCAACTCAGTTATATTTGGCACAGTCCACAATGTTATATACCCACCACTTCTGTCTAGTTCCAAAACATTCCCATGACTCCAGAGGAAGCCGTTTCTCCATGGTGGTTTCTCCTCTCATATGTTGGTGTGTACACTTGCTTGAGTCCCTGGGGTATATATCTGGGAGTGGAATTGCAGGTTACATGGTGGTTCTATGCTTTATTTTTTGAGGAAAAGCCAAACTGTTTTTCTGAACCACTTTTTAAGATAGTAGATTTATTAAGATTTAATTCACATACAGCACAATTCTCCTGTTTAAAGTATGCAATTCAATACTTTTTTTTTTTAATATAGTCTCAGAGCTGTATAACCATCACCCCAGTGAATTTTAAAACATTTTCATCCCCCTGTTGAAACGCATTAGCTGTCCCTCTCCTGGCCCCTACCTCTTCTGCCTTAGACAGTCACTAAGATCTGTTTCTATAGAGTAGAGTTATTCTGGACATTTCTTAAAAATTTTGTCAGAAAGTATGGGACCATTTGTGTCTTGAGTGTGTTTCACTTAGCATAATGTTGGTGAACCTTGAAAACATTTCACTAAATGAAAACTAGACCTGAATGATCACTTTGTATGTGATTTCATTTACCTGAAATACCTGGAACAGATAAATTCATGAAATAGAATTATTATCAGTGGTTGCCAGGCTGTCTAGTTTTCACTTACTCAGATGTTTTCAAGGTTCATCAATGTCGTAGTATGTCTCAGTACCTTATTCTTTTTGGTGGTTGAATACTATTCCATTGTGTATATACCACATTCTGTTATCCATTCATTCTTTGATGGAAATTTGGGCTGTTTCCACCATTTTGGGTACTGTGAACAGTGCTGCTATGAACCCGAGTATATGTGTACTTGTTATAAGCAGGTTCACAACTTCATTGCCCGCATGCAGAATTGCTGGGCCCATATTATCATATAACTTGGGAAACTTTCAAACCTTCCCCCCCAAAGTGGCTGCACCATTCTACAGTCCAACCAGCAATGTATTGGGGTTCCAGTTTCTTTGCCTTCTCAGCGACACTGGTCATTGTCTATCTTTTTGATTATACCCATGCTAGTAGGTATGAAGTGGTAGCTCATTTGGGTTTTTGTTTGCATTTTCCTAAAGACTAAGGACTTTGAACATCCTTCCATGTACTTGTTGGCCATTTATAGATCTTTGATGAATTATTCAGATCATTTGTCCATATCTAAATAGAGATATTTTAATATTTTCTGGTAAGAGTTTTTTTAATGGATCATTATTTAATTAGATTCTTTGTAGGAAATTTAGAATACCAATTTGTGAGGGCAAATCCTATTTGTGAGTGCAAACACAGGGTGGAGGTGGCATAATGTTGCTACACCTTGAAAACATTTGACTAAATGAAAACTAGACATGAATGAAGCTGAGGAATAGCTTTGATTTTTGGCAGATATCAAATCCAGAGCATTCTTTTTAAAAAAATTTTTTTAAGATTTATTTATTTATGCATACAACAGTTGGGGTACAAACCAGAGGTGTGGGGTGGGATGGGGTGAGAGATTTCACTAGAAATAGAGTGGGAAGCAGAACAGGCAGATCTAGTGAAATACACTGCTGAGGGGATCAAAGGGTGAGACAGGAGAGTCTGCTGCGCCATTCCTCCCTGGCCAGGAATCTAACTCTGACAGATTCGTAGTGCTGAGAATTAACCCCTTGCGCCACCAGGGAGGCCCCAAGCCCACAGCATTCTGACCAAGCTTGTGCTCTTCCATCTCGTATTTCTCCTCCATGTCGAAGATCTCATCTTCCTGGTGTTAGAGCTTACACAGCTTCTTCTTGCAGTAGGCATCAGTGAGATAGATGTTCTGGGATCTTTATACCACTGATGCCAATTTTGGTAGATCAGGCAATGACAAATTTCTGGTGCAGGGAAACTCCATGGGGGACAGAGGTCCAGCCCCAAGTAGCAAGCCGCTGCCCAGTTGCTCTAAGAAAACCACCCTCTTGCCTCTGTGGTGCCCAGTGAGGATGATCACATAGCATGATGCCAGCTTGCAGTTTGCACACATGCTGACTGAAAGGGTTTTTGCCGTGGCTCCACGACTTTCAAGGTACATCTTTAGTAGGGTAGTAGCGAGACATTTTTCGAAGTTTAACCCCTGGGTACTGTCATCTTATCACCACCAAGTAGTTGTGTAATAATAGAAAGAACCTTCTCCTCCTTTAAATTTTTTTATTATTTATTTTTTCTTCTCCTTTTTAATCCTGGATTTAGCTGCTGAGTAGTTCCCCTTATACATGACCATTCTGAAATGCATAGCAGATCAGGAATATCTGCCAGCTCCTTTCACTGGGACATGGTTTTGGCTGCACTGTAGCTTTTGTAGGAAGTTTTGAGATTGGGAGTATGAATCTTTCAATCTTGATTCTCTTTTTCAAGATTATTTTGGCTTTGTTGGGTTCCTTACATTTCCTTATGAATTTTATAATATGTTTGTCAATTTCTCTTGAAATAAACTAGCCGGAATGTTGATGGAGACTGCATTAAATCTGCAGGTTTTGGGAGATTTTTTTAAAAAATTTTTTTTATAACAGTTTATTTTTACATCATTTTGTACATTTTTTTTTCCATCTCAATTGTAATCCCCGCGGGTTTCCCATCACCAAGTCACCCGTGTGCCATCACCATAACCCCGTGCACTTCCCTCCCCACCCCCGTTTTTGATCCCATTCCCCACTCCATCCCCGCACAATGTCTCTAGTATATGGTTGTTCGTTATTCTTGTTATTTTCTCGCCTGGCCCATTATACTCCTGCTATGAGTGAAACCATCCGGTATTTTTCTTTCTCTTTCTGGCTTATCTCACTAAGCATGATCTTTTCCAGCTCTTGGGATATTATTTTAACAAGTAAATCATCTGCCCCATGAATACAGGATGTCCTTCCATTTATTTAGGTCTTCTTTCATTTCTTGAACAATATTTTATAGTATTCAGAGTTTAAGTTTTACACTTCTTTTGCTCAATTTAGCCTAAGTAGTTTATTCTTTTTGATGCTATTATAAATGGAATTGCTTTCTTAACTTCCTTTTTTGGACAGTTCATCAAGTATATAGAAGACAAACTGATTTTTTTTCATATTGCTCTTATATCCTGAAATCATGCTGAATTAGTTTTTAAAATTTAATAGATTTTTAGTAGATTCCTTAGGATTTTCTATTTAAAATGATGTCATCTGCAAATAGAATTTTAACTTCTTCCTTTCTTTTCCTTTTGTCTAATTTATCATGGCTGGAAACTATTTTACAGTGTTTACTAGAAAAAGACCAGATACCCTTGTCTTTTTCTTTGTCTTAAGGGGGAAAACATTCGATCTTTCACCTTTCAACATGATATTAGCATTGGCTTTTTCATAGATGTTTATTAGTTTGGAGTTATTTCCTATTCTTAATTTAAAATTAAGACGAAGTGGTGTTTAATTTGGCCAAGTGCTTTGTCTGCTTATACAGAAGTAATCATGTGTAGTTTAGTTCTTTTTGATATGTATGGTATATGTTTATTGAATTTCAGATGTTAAACCAACTTTGTATTCTACATCATGGTATGGTATATAATCCTTTTAATATATTGCTGGATTTATTTTGCAAGTAGCTTAGGATTTTTGCATATACATTCATAAGAAATATTGGTCTTCTTGTTATGTGTTTGTCTCATTTTGATATTAGAGTACCAGAGTACTGACCTCAGAATGAGTTCCTTCCTCTATGTTTTTATAAGTGTTGGTGAAGAATTGGTATGAATTCTCCTTTAAATGCTTGGTAGCATCATTAGTGAAGTTATCTGTGT